TTTTTCGGTGGGAGTATTCTCCCCTCTGTCTTTGGCAGTGTCCAGCAACACACTGCATAAGGCTGCAGTGTAAACAGCCTTATATAGTGTGGGGCATACACTTAGCCATGAGCCATGATTGGCCAAAGTCACCGTGACTTTGGCCATTCATGGCTCTCACAGTGCATTGTGCTCTGATTGGTCAAAGCATTGCACCTGATCTTCGGTCAGGTGCATTGCCTTGGCCAATCATGGCTCTCACAATGCACTGTAAGAGCGCAGTGCATTGTCGGGAGCTTACTATTGAGCATCGAGCTCAACACTAGTCTACAGTACCATGTTACACAAAACAGAACTGAGATTAACTGTCTTTGAGATGATATGACCTAGATAGTGCACTTGTAGTTGGCAAAGCTACAGTTATGCTTTTTGTTAAAAAATGTGATGTTAAATCCTACAAGAAATGAGCAACAGATTATATTTACAGGATGCATATACTACACAACATTGACATTTGTCATTGAGTGAGCAATCAGTATTTCCAGAGGGAGGTAGCTGTTAAAAGGTAAACATGTTTTGAGTGGTTAGAGATTCAATTCAACTTAAAAACGCATTTTTTTCTGTTAGTCATATTTATACACACTTGATGACCTAAAATGCAGAGACACAAAAATGATCTCATATATATTAATATAACATAATAATAATAATACATAACAGATTTCATTTTAAGGTATACCAGTTTTAAAACTATAAACGTCTTCAGCATATTTTTTTCTTCTGTAATAAAAAGTTATTAGTGTTTATTATCCTTGTAATTGTACAAATTCATGTATTATTTTTCTGCTTTTTTTTACTAAGCGCCTGTGTTCTTTAATCAATGCTATTTATCTGCTCTAAACCCACCTAGTGTCTAGATATAAATCAAACATTTCTTTGACTCACACATCTGAGATGTGAAGCTGGGCTCTGATTACTCATTGTCTTGAGACTCAAACTCTAAGCCCCCGTCACATGATTTTGAAATCATGCGACTTACTGTGACGTCGCACGATATCCAAATCGAGTGACCTGCCGATTTCAGTTGTGATTTGAAAGACATCTGACACAGATGTCTATGCAAACTGCAACAAAACTAGTGCATGTACTACTTTAGAAATTGGTCGGAACAGCACTGATATGACCGCTCTAATAGCAGACAATAGAGTGCGACTTGGCAAACGATTTGCAGATTGCATGCCAAATCGCACCCGATGTGACCGGGGTGTAAATAACAATAGCCAACACAGCCGATGAAATCAAATATTTTTCTCTATACTGTTAGGGACATAAATGTTTTAATATTTTGTGACATCCACAATTTAGTTCCCTTTAACAATGCAGAGAAAGAATCCTGGACTGAAGGAAATAATTGTGCTCCCATATTTCTACACTTCAAGATAAGAATTCGATTTATTACACTCACAGAGTAACTTTTTATGACTTCTGCATTCCAGCACATATTTGCTGCTTTCAGCAAAAATAATCCACCACTTCAAATAATTCAGCTTAGTTCATTCAATACACCCAAAGTATACCATACTGGATTTCATAGATTTCAACACATTCTGCTACACACAATACTAATGCAAGTGCCTAGAACTAACCAAATAAACGTGTAGGGATCTGCTGCCCTCTATTGTCTGTGCATAGCTGTGCTGTTTATCACATTATTAATTGTATAATACCTCCTGTCTCTGGGTTGTTAGGTAAAAAAAAACCCAGAAGAGGAAGTGAAGACAGACACAGAACTGAGCCTCAGTCATGAACTTACATCAGGGGTCCTCAAACTTTTTAAACAGGGGGTCAGTTCACTGACTTTCACACTGTTGGGGGGCCGGACTATAGTTTGAAAAAATATGAACAAATTCCTATGCACACCGCATATATTTTATTTGTAGTACAAAAAAAAAAAGGAAAAAACAATACAATACAAATACAATATTACAATATTTAAAATGCACTGTACTCTGTAATGCACTGGACAACAAAATACAATGTACTCTGTAACGGACTTGACACCGCAATGCACTGTGTACTGTAATGCACTTGACACCAAAATGCACTGTACACTGTAACGCACTTGCCCTCGCAATGTACTGTACACTGTATCACACTGGACACCAAAATGTAATGTACTTTGTAATGCAATTGACACCACAATGCACTGTGCACTGTAACACACTTGACAACATTTGGAGGATTTTCCTGTAATGCCCTCTAGTGTAAGATTTTTTTTTTCGTGTGCATAGTTAGAGGCTTGCTAGAAGCCTGGGTATGAGTCAGCCTGGGAGTGAGTCAGCAAGGTTACTTCAGGTTAAGATTGAAGGGCTCTGCAGGTCAGTTCTCTCATAACTTCCCCTGCTCTAGAAACTTGGAGACGTTTCTAGAAACAGTGGACAGGGGTGAGGAGGGGCTGATCTGCATACTTAGGGGAATTTGGGCAATCCCCAGGCAGGACACCTGGCATGGTGGCTAGGTCAGCCCTTAAATATGAGAGAACCTGGTCAGCAGGGGAGTCAGGTGGAAAAGATGGCGTGAGGAAGTGCTGCTGGTGTGGAGCCTGGGAGAGGGCCCCAGAGAAGGGGGGTCTGCCTACAGCCTGAAGTTGGACAGAAGGACCTCCACTGTCTCACAGTCTATCGGGGAAAGATAGCCTGTCAGCAGCGAAGGAGCCAGCCCAGCGTAAGGCCTGAAAGCAGCTTCAACCTTTAAAGCTCCAGGAACAGGCCAGTGTGAGTACTTCTACACCCCCTGGGCCAAAAAAATACTCAACTAGTTCTCTCTGGGACTACATTCTTTGTGCTTCTCTTGCCCTGGGATACACTCGAGACAGCCAAGTGGATGCGGAGATTTTCATTTAGAGTCTGAGCAGGTTCATTTAAGGGGACCAAGTGCTCCTTGCAAAGGCTGTGCACTAGTCTGTCAGAAGGGAAGTGCCACTCCTAAAGGAGTAGAAAAGCTAAGATCCACTTGTTCTTTTGAGATTTTTGCTGAATTCTTGTTTGCTAATAAAACAACAAAAAAACAAACTTATGGACCGTTTACTGACTTTGGGTGAATTGTGGAAAATGCGTGTTTCCTGGCTGTAGAGCTTAGGTGGACCCAAAAACTCAGCGGCCCTCAAGAGGGTAGCACTGCATTGCTATCACTGCTAATCTTGTCTCCAGGTTTCCAACACAATGTTAAATGCCATGTCATGTTTGTCCTCAGGGGCACCTGCAACTGAATTTTGCTGCAGCATTCATCTGGAATTATCTTTAATAATAATTATATATACCCAGTTATATGTGCACAAATCCATCCGGACTCTTCTTGGGGCCTTTGCTGATTATACCTGTTTGTACATTGGATACATGTACTATTATTAATCTTTTCCTATATAAAGCTATTATTTCCACACTGATGTGCATGGACAGTATATACATTGTACTTATGGTTACTGTTATATGTTGGTTGCTGTAGTTCCTCTGGTCCCAATTACTTTACAATTGCTTTACTTTCCAAGGAAGGGAAGGCACTGCCAACTTTATTATCAAACCTACTCTTCAACTCATTTAAGGTTCTGGATCTCTTATTTATCTGCATGTTAGCACAATATGCTGTTTCGGGGGCCATTTGTCATAACCCCCCCATACATGCTCACAAAAACAAGGGCTACAATTGTTTTTATTTTTAGTTTAGTTATACTATAGAAATAATGTATTCATATTTTTCAGGTGTAATTTAGGGCTTATATTAACTAAATGTTCTGTAAGACATATTAGAATATGTAATAAAACAGTTGTTTGTATTGCGTAATCTTTTGGCAAAGGCTTTTTTATAGACATTTTGTACAGTTTGTCTAGCACTACTTCCTCATTGTACAGTTAATAAAGGGGTGCCACTGTGGGGGATCTCTGGGCATCACATTTACAGTTTTCTGAATCCATTATCCCCAAGAGAAAAATTTGAAATTAGAAAGAAGGGTAAGTAGAAAATGAATAATTAAAAGAAAAGAAAAAGCAAAGTTTGCATTTATGCCTTCACCATCCCCCCATTTTCACTATCCAAGCCTCCAGGGTAAGGGGGTTAATCATGCAAACTCACACAGACTTAGCAGTGTGCTATATGAACATTTATACATAATCACACTCAACGGGTTATCCATTTGAGCTCTGGAAGATTTTACCTCCTTCATGACCAGGCCATTATTTGTTGTTCAGCACTGCACTGCGTTACCTGGTAACTGCGTAGTCATCCAATGCTGTACGCAAACAAAATTTATATAATTGTTTTCACACAAATAGAGCTTTCTTTTGCTGGCATTTGATTACCTCTGGGTTTTTTTTATTTTTTGCAATATAAATGCAAAATAGACTGAAAATGTTGAAAAAAACAATGTTTTTTACTTCCTGCTATTAAACATATCCGATAAAAAAAATTTAAAAATCACATTTCTTCATACATTTTGGCCAAAATGTATTCTGTTACATGTCTTTAACCGCTAGCCTACAGGACACTTATACCCCCTTCCTGCCCAGGACAATTTCCAGCTTTCAGTGCTGTTGCACTTTGAATGACAATTGTGCGGTCATGCAACACTTGTACCCATATGAAATTTTTATCATTTTTTTGTGACAGATAGAGGTTTTTTTTGGTGGTATTTAATTACCTCTGGGTTTTTTATTTTTTCTTAAACAAACCAAAAACCACTGAAAATTTTGAAAAAAAAAGTTTTTTCTTAGTTTATGTTATAAAATTTTGTAAATAAGTGATTTTTCTCATTCACTGACGTGCGCTAATGAGGCTGCAGTGATGGACACTGATAGGCTGCACTGATGGACACTGATAGGTGGCACTGATGGGCACTGATGAGGAGGCACTGGTAGGTGGCACTGATGGGCATTGACAGGCATCACTGATGGGCACTGAAAGGCACACTCATATATGGCACTGATAGGCGCCACTGATAGGTGGTGGCAGTGATAGGCGGCACTGACTGCCACTGATAGCAGCACTGACTGGCACTGTTAGGTGGCACTGACTGGCACTGTTAGGCGACACTGATAGGCAGCACTGACAGGCACTTATATGCGGCACTGGTGCACAGTGATAGGCAGCACTGACTGGCACTGATAGGTGGCACTGACTGGTATTGATAGGTGGCACTGACTGGCACTGATGGGTGACACTGAAAGGCAGCTCAGATGGGCACTGATATGTGGCATTGATGTGGCACTGATGGGCACTGAAATGTGGCACTGATGGGCACTGGCAGGTGGCAAGGATGAGCACTGAGAGCTGGCACTGATGGACACTGACAGGTGGCGCTGCTGGGGCTACACAGATCATCAGGGCACACTGATCATCAGTGCTCTGATGATTTGTGTACATGTCCCCTCCGAAGAATTACCGGCTCTCCTCTCCTCTCAAGCTGTCAGCGTGACAGCTCGTGGGGAGAGAAATGCCGATAACCGGCAATTTCCTGTTTACATGTGATTAGCTGTGATTGGACACAGCTGATCACATGACCGAGTCGACATCTTCGGCTCTTTCCGTGGATCGGTGATCCGCTGTGACAAGCTCCTGCTGTGTTCAGTCACAGCAGGAGTAGACTGGTGGAAAACCGAAAACAGGCAGTGACGTATGGGATGCTCGTGCACAGTACATTGCTGGCAGGCGGTTCGTAAGTGGTTTTATAAACAACAAGGTGTCTATATCTAAATTGACTGCAGCAGTTCACATTCTTATCCAAGCAAGATTTATAATAACAAATATACAAGGGAAAATTAGACGTACCAACCATTGAAATCTTCAGGCAAAAGTTGATACTTATCTGGCTCTCTTTGAAGGAACCCAAACTGGTTCTAAAAATGAAAGTCCCCACTCATGAAAGAACTCTCAGCCAAAAAACTGAAAGTCGTTTAGTAAAATAAAATTCCTTAGTGAATACTGGATAAGGTTGTCAGCAAAGAGGTGTGTAGAAGCTGTGACTTACCTCACAGGTGGTGGATCTTCAGATCCAAGTCACGGCACCAAAATTATCAAAGAAATAGCCAAATAAGAGAGAAAATAAGTGTTTTCATATTTCTTTATGCAGCCAGCATACAGAGAGCAAGTCTGAGTCCCGTATCAGTTATAAAACGTAGTGCTTCACATAAACCAAGCGTGTTATATACCATTAAGCAAAATAATCAATTAATATAATTAATATTGCCATAAAAAGTCCCACACCATGTAGTATGCAAACAAAATCTTCTGGTGCTTAATAATTCTCTTTATGCCAGGCATGTCCAAAGTCCGGCCCGCGGGCCATTTACGGCCCGAGGGTCGGTTTAATACGGCCCTCCATGTCAGTGTGTCAGTGTGTCTTATGGAGCGAATATGGAGCGGCCGGTCCGGTATTTCCACCGCGGCCGTGTCAGAATACCGGGCCGGCCGCTCAGCTCTGCAGCGGGACCTTACCTGTTCCTCTATCCAGCGGCGCGCTGTCTTCCCGGCTTCTGTAGTGTGGGCGCTGGGCATGACAGCCGGCCGTGCCAAGTGCGCATGCGCAAGAAGCGGTGCTTTTTGTGAATGGTAAGGTGGTACCTGGGACACATGACAGATCCCAGAAGCCGCCGGACCAATCACAAAGCGGGTGCCAAGTGCGCATGCGCAAGAAGCGGTGCTTTTTGTGAATGGTAAGGTGGTACCTGGGACACATGACAGATCCCAGAAGCCGCCGGACCAAGAATACCGGGCCGGCCGCTCAGCTCTGCAGCGGGACCTTACCTGTTCCTCTATCCAGCGGCGCGCTGTCTTCCCGGCTTCTGTAGTGTGGGCGCTGGGCATGACAGCCGGGTGCCAAGTGCGCATGCGCAAGAAGCGGTGCTTTTTGTGAATGGTAAGGTGGTACCTGGGACACATGACAGATCCCAGAAGCCGCCGGACCAATCACAAAGCGCAAGTGCTTCTCGCTCATGCGCACTGGGCACCCGGCTGTCATGCCAAGCGCCATTACAGAAGCCGGGAAGACAGCGCGCGGCTGGATCGAGGAACAGGTAAGATCAAAGAACAACTGCGGAAGTAAGAGCGGGTACCTGTCAAATTCAGGTACCCGCTCCCCACCTCCCCAAAGGTCGGCAGTCATCTGTACTGTCCGCAGTCTCTGGTCATCCCTGTGCTGTCCGCAGTCTCTGGTCATCCCTGTGCTGTCCGCAGTCTCTGGTCATCCCTGTGCTGTCCGCAGTCTCTGGTCATCCCTGTGCTGTCCGCAGTCTCTGGTCATCCCTGTGCTGTCCGCAGTCTCTGGTCATCCCTGTGCTGTCCGCAGTCTCTGGTCATCCCAGTGCTGTCCGCAGTCTCTGGTCATCCCTGTGCTGTCCGCAGTCTCTGGTCATCTCCTGTACTGTGTCTGCAGTCCATTAGTTCAGAATTTTTTTTTTCCTGTTTTCTGCCTCTAAAACCTAGGTGCGTCTTATGGTCAGGTGCGTCTTATACGGCGAAAAATACGGTAACTTGGCATAAAATAATTTATTTGCATTTAATTGTAATGGTTCAAAGAATGTTTGGAAAAATGTTCGGCCCTCCACCATGTTCACTTCATCCAATCTGGCCCTCTTTGAAAAAAGTTTGGACACCCCTGCTTTATGCAAACCCTCTTAGTGTTCCACCACCGTGTGCCAATATTAACACACTCACCAACCATCCATGACCCCTTAATTAAAAGAAGGCCAAGTGAGCTTGTTTCACCATGGTTTTATATCTCAGTGGGTTTTTTCTCTATAGTCTCCCCATATTATTTCAATGTATCCATATTCCACAACACCAAATCATCATAAGCCAAGAGAGATAAATCTAATTTATGCTTTGCCAATCTGGCGAAACATCACATGTCTGCCACTTCCGGGTCTGCAGATTTGATGTCACTTCCGGTCCCAGTGACTGGAACGCACGCTAGCTCTAGGGAATGGAGCGGTGGTGGCAGAACATAGCGGAGTGTATTTAGAGGTACTGGGCACCAAAAAATAGTTTTCTTATATTGTCTAATCTTAAAAAAAATACTACACTATGAGATTTATCTCTCTTTAGGCCTGATTTGGCTCTGCTTGGGCCTCTGAGAATAACCCATACGAAGAAAACATGTTGAACATGTTTTGCGCTATGAATAGCACTTATTTGTAACCTTTCAGGTAACTCAGGTTACGAATAAGCGCTGTTCATACCGCATCAACATCTGATTGTTCCCACGGTGTTTTGTGATGTTTTCATTTATAATCATTTAATAAACAATGAGGAGTACAGAAAATTCTGCACTTTTTCTTCATATGTATTGACAGATTGGCTTTGTGAGCACCCTCGTGATTAACCTGCAGTAGAAAATACTTGACGGTGCAGTAGAAGATACTTGATGGTGCACCTGGAGTTGCACCTGGAGTTGTACAGGACTCTTTCTTTAATCTCTGAGAATAATCCAGGAGTCCCCTGCAAGTTACGAGTGTCACGATTGCGGCGTCAGACCCCTGACCTTCTTACCAAACTCGTGACTGAAGGACTAGCCGATCTAAAACTGCGATGTCACATGCGTAACAATGCCACACCCAGCTGCACCCTGCACAACGATTTTCCAGCTAATTGGACTTAAATCGATGTACCAGCAGCCTGAGCGATTGTTACTGGGTCAGGTTAATTACACAATTAACCCTTCACACTGCCACCACCTCCTTTTTGTACAGAGAAAGAGGAAACTCGGTGATATCAGTTATAACACTATAATGATTGAGGTAATCGTCTGTATAACACGGTTATACAGAGGGTTAAACAAACACAGTAGCGTTCTCTATAGAGGCAGGAAATCGTAAATTGCAATAAAGCGCTATAGAAACAGTTCAACACTTTCAGAAGGAAAGATTTATTACTAAAAGGTCAAACGGGTGCAATCACAATATTTACAGAAAAAGATGTAACTAAGATATATATATATATAAATATACAGAGACTAACAGCAAAGAGATATCAGAGAGAGGTGAAAGGGTTAAGGTACGTGCCAAAGTCCTGGGTTAGCAGATCCAAGTTTCAGAGCGAAACGGCACGGGTCTCCCCAGGTGGTACTGATGTTAAAATGGGAGACGACTTCAGCTCTCTCTTCATAGGCCTGACAGCCTAATTTGTAGTTCCCCAGCAGGGGGTGTCTCTGAAGTCAAGGACCAATACCCCGTTTAGGGCATAGAGGTCTGCGCGTGGACCTAAACTAGAGCCAAAATCTCGTGTAGTTCATATTTTGGCTCATAACTTTTCCTATGCACAAGTGACATTCCTCCCGCAGGTAGATTATTATGCAGACACGTCTAAGGATTGATTAGATATGAATTATGAAATTATACACTGAATGGTTCACGAGATCTATTTTTCGGCTTTCCTATGTATTCGAGACAAGGCGTGTGACTTATCAAATTGTTTGTCTTCTCTTAGGCAATCTGACGATATGTCTGGTTTTTATGTAAGTCTCTCATATTCCAAGATATGAGACATAGGGGAAAAAATTGATTTTTAAAAGTGTTAGCTGGTCCCGCCTTCCTTGGATTGTCTTGAACTCTGGGGAAAGCTTGCCTTATCTTATACGAGGTGTTACATTTTACAGGTTCTTCGGACAGCTAGGCCCCAGCTCCCTTGGGGACTTTATACTGTAGCTCCTATCCCCCTGCTGGGCCCTGTCCTCCTGTGACACTCCTAACACACATACACACTGGCCAAATGTCGCTGTGACTCTCAGAAAGGGACGGGGAGAATGAGGGGGAAATATGTTTGTCAGAATGGTTAACCTCTTTGCCAAGATGGAGGTTCTTAACAAAATGGAGGACTGTGTCAGTCTCTGGGTATACGCTGTTACAACAAGCACAGCTCCATGCACACTGACAATACAGGCTCAGTCTAGAGCAAGAGTGTCAAACTGGCAGCCCTCCGGCTGTTGCCAAACTACAAGTCCCATATTGCACAGATGACAGTTACAAGCATGACTCCCAAAGGCAGAGGCATGATGGGACTTGTAGTTTCACAACAGCTGGAGGGCCGCCAGTTTGACACCCCTGGTCTAGGGGATGTCTTTTTAGAATTTATTGCTGAATAACTTCAGGGGTTCTGGAATCAGGATACTCCAAATGATAGCAGAAATAACAAGAGGACAGTTTCTCACTAATCTTCTCAAAGCAGCCATTCTTGGAGGTAACAGGGGATGGACAGTATATCTAAGACTCGTATGGCATCCTCTGGCACTTAGTTTCATTCTAGCACTTTCACACCCAACTATCTTTACTCACAATGTCCCAGGAGCTGTCTGCCACACAGCATCCACAGGTAGATCCTCAGTGGGAGAAACAAAAGATTCTTCTCCAGACCAGAATTCCAAGATTATGCCCTTAGGTCATCTCCAGGCCCTCAGCCCAGCACCTGCTGAGGCCCAATTACTTTTCTTACTAGCTATCTCCCATGGACAGCAGCCCCTAGATAACTGAAAAGGAAATAACACTCTGAAAAGGCCTCCCAAACATTTACAGTATTACCTCCTCAGCCATCTTCTGGGTGCCTTTTTCCAGGGATTGGCTGGGGCCAATATGATAAATATTCATACTGATAGCATTTCAGAAGATTAGGTAGGCTCAGCCCACCTTGGATTTGGGATGGCACAGAACAAATTTAGAAACTGTAGGCCTGGAATTATTCCAGATAAATCAAAGTACCTGAAACTGTAGGGATCTTATTCTAAAATAGGGGAAAGAGTTAGGGAGGGTTCTTGCATAACAAATTGGGTAAATATCTTCTTTATGATTGCAACCCTGCAAAGCTCGAAGAGTTTATGCTTGCTCCAAGAATCTAAAGTTCTTGAGGGTTTTGAAAAAGGCTGGGTAGATCACTTGATATAGTGGGACTTATTTACTAAGGGCAAATAGGCTGTTCACTTAGCAAGGGAAGTTGGAATTTGCAAGGGAGCTTAACAATTGTGATGGAATTTCACTTTATAAAGAATCATGTGCAAGGAAATGGTTTTTAGAAATGTATTTTTGCTTGCACATGATTGAATGATGGAAGGCCTGGGGATGATTCCTTTTGCAAAGTGCAACTTCCCTTGCAATGTAAACAGTCAATTTGCCTTTAATAAATCAACTCCAATGTATTATTTGAGGTGTTGAATAATATCCCTATGTTTGGCAGATGGGGAGTTGTCCGACAGAAATGGTAAAATTAATGTAGAACAGACAAGGTTTGTGTTGGTGTAGTTACATTTGGGGCTATTTAATTTGGATTTGTTCACTTGAAGTCCGGAGATGGATCAAAACTTTTTAAGGGTAGATATCATGCTAGAAAAGGGGGAGTGGGGGTTTGTGAGAAGAAAGAGGATGACATCTGCAAAGAGATACAGTTTGTGATGGTGTTGGCCTACCTTCAGTTCTGTAATGTCTGTATTCTTTCTAAGCAGCTAGGTGAGTGCCTCCATGGTGATACAAAAAACTGTGGAGATTGCGGACCAGTGGCACAGTATTTTAAACTGTATGTAAACCCTACTAATTAATTGCTTATTTATATACCATGGAAGTGTATTGGTAGATCTGTTCAATAAGTGCAAACAACCGATGATCCTGTCAGAAATCCAGTACTGTAACATGTCTTGGGTTCTCTGAAGTTTTATGTTAACTAATGTTATTAGCTATCTCCAGCTTTCCTCTGTGAGCTAAAGAACACACCTCCCCTATGTTATGGAGATGAGGAAGTGAGTAAAGAGTCATCAACACTTCAAAATATGCATTTGTAGAATTTTTGGTATCATGTCATATAGAACAGACTGTAAATATTAAATGATACATCCACAAAAAATGTGGAAATGCATATTTTGGGGTGCTTGTGACTTCTTACTCTTTAGCTCATTATTCACAGCACACTCTTATTAATCTCTTGCAGCCACCATCGAGGATTAG